CCCCCACCCAGTTAAACGTTCAAGATCTTGCCCCCACACCCACAAGTCCATCCCATGGTCCAATCTCCCCACTGCCATGCTGGCAGCTTCCACCCATCCAGTTCCAGTCAGGTGCAGCGGGGCAGAGACAAAGGATGACCTTGGCTTTCTAGAAAGAATTTTGTTATGGCTACATAGCATCTAACTCCATACAATCCCTCCTCCCATTTTCCCATATTAGAAAAAGGCATAGTAGAATAATAGAAAGTGTGGCAGACCAAAGATCAAGAGAAATATGGCTGCAGGCCTGACAGAAGGAAAGAAAGAAAGAAAAAAAGGAAGAAGGAAAGAAGGGAGAGAAATGAATCAGCCCAAGACATCAAAAATTCATTTTAATGCAGGGCTGAGAAACAGAGGAGTCTTCTATTTCTCTCCATCCCATCCTTCTGCAGTGACCTCCCAGTGATTCCAGCAGTAGAAGCATTTTTGACCAAGCAAGGAAGCCTGCAGCAATGAGTTTCCCTCCACTTTGGATTGGGAGACAAGACCAAGGGACAGAAGCCACTTCCCCTGGTCTTCCCAGGAGGTTCTGACTTTGCCAAAGAAAGAACTGGGGTGGGATTTCACTGATGATGCCTTCCCTTCACCCATTGCATCTTCTCCGTTGCTCCGGGTGGCTGTCCTTGGGTGACGTTCACCTTCATGCCAAATTTACAGATGTTTTACCTTCTCTCCAGTACGAAAAAAATATATTCCCCGAATACCCATCACTCCTTTTTATAAATGCTTCTGATAAAAGATGTAAAATGTCTTTATGTGAGGTGGTCCTGCGGTAAGCGTATTAAGCCTTGTGGATTGTTTTCCTTACAAGATTTAAATTTACTTGGGAGGGGGGAACATTGGTAGGATTGTGGCAATAAAAACCAGGGTTTGCAATATATTTAAACAGGTGGGAAAACAAGCATTTGTAGCTGTAGGGATCGATCGATCTGTTAAAACATTGCTTCATTTTATAATGTCAAGGGATTGGGGGGGGGGGCATATGTCCAGCTTCCTGTTTCAATTGATAGTTCTATCTTTGGAGCTGTTTCAAATAGACCCCAAATATCCCAGCTGTAGCTGGGCTCACACCTCTGACCTGCACAGATCTAGAGAACCATTAGATGGGGACATTGCATTGGAATTTCTGTATCTAGTTGCCTTCATCCACCCGTTGGCCAGCAGGTGGCAGCACCAGATCAAATGGCCCTGAAAACAAGTCTCACCCAGCCTCCAAAGACACCCCCCCCCATCTGATGTTGGGGACCCCTCTGCCTGCTTTTATCCTAATTTCCTGGGGACATTCCATTCCCATACTTAAGAAAGAGATCTGGCGCGATTCCTTGCCCCGCCAGTAGGTTGTAAAGCCAGCTACCCTGCGCGATGCTCCCTGTGTCTTCCCTTGGCTCCAACTAGCTCTGTGATGATGAACCTATGGCACGCATGCCTGAAGTGGCACGCAGAGCCATGTCACCTGCCATGCGCGGCATCGCACATTCCTTTTCTGGGTTTCTGGCGTGCATTTGTGCGTGATGATCAGCTGGCCTTTGTGTGCGGCAGTGCCGGAAGCTGGAAAACCTGGTCTTCCATTTTTTGGCGTGAAGCCTG